CCTATTTCCACCTCCAAGCCTTTAAATTATGAATGGAGCAAAGGTAGTGTTTATTCCAGTCACATAGCAATTTAGAAAGTTGCCACAGAAGGTGTCATCATCTATTTTAAATTCCTTATAAACGAAGGCCGGACACGCTTAACTTTGCAACGTTATGTCTCTCCAGGGCTCTGCTGGTGGCGTTTCCAGCGCTCACCTCCCCTGATTCTAATGCACGTAATTTATGCCGTGGCAAGCGGCTTTGGTTTCCGTCTGGCTGTGTCTTAATTTGAGCTGATTTTCCCGTTAACAGGCTGCTGTAATGTCTGGCTCCGTGATTCCAGCTTTGCTTTACAATGCATTTTCAGACTTTAATTAGGACCCCTGTTGGCGCACTGGCCTGGGCCTGCCCAGATAGATCTGGGGGAAAACAAAAGAGGCTTTCCAAAAGGCAAGACCATTTTATTCCTTATTAATTAGTCCCCGCCAAACGGAGACAGAGGTGGGAGGGGGGAAGGTGACAGGCAGGTCAGCTCAGAGGGCTGCGTGGGATGTGGTTAGGGTTTTATTTGCAAGGGGTGCAGTCAGGGTTCTCCAAAGACTTGGAAATAAAGGAAGTAAGATTGCTTCTGAGAGTTAAGCTGTGAACTTGATCACACGGTGGGGCAGGAACTGAGCCCTGAAGACATCCGCTTAAGCGATTATGTGGAAAGTGGACTAACGTGTTTTTTCCAATCAAACGACGCGGGCCTCTTTCTCTTCCAGTTTTGTTGGTTCGTCCACCGGATTTGGACAGAGCCGATCCATCCCAGCAGGGCGCCCTGCTTGGGGCTGGAGTTGCAACTCTAGGTCCCATCCTCACAACACCCACAGACTGGGAAGGAGCTCGGAGCTCCATCTTGCTGTAGAAATGTGCTGCAGCTGTTTCCAAGGTGATGGCTTTACCACGGCCAAGGAGAGACTGCTCTCAGGAGAGTCACGGGAAACGGGCGAGCGGGGTCGGGGTCAGGGTCAGGATCGCCATGTGTTTTTGGCACTGCCCAGGTGTATTCGCTTGGGCTGCTACAACAAATATGACTGAGCGGGGAGCTTAAACAATATGCATTTATTCTCTACAGCAGGCATGTCAAACTTGTGGCCCATGGGCCACATGCCTTGTTTATTTGGCCTGTCTTAGCCTTTGAGTTTGACATGCTTGCTCTACAGTGTTGGAGGCTGGGAAATCCAAGGTCAGTTTGCCAGCGTGGCCAGGTTGTGCTGACGGCCTCCTTCCTGGATGGCAGATGGCCGACCCCTCATTGTGTCCTCACGTGGAGATAGAGAGAGCGCTCTGGTCTCCTCCTCTTATCAGGGCACTAATCGCATCCTGGGGGCCCCACCCTTATGACCTCCTCTAAACCTGATCACTTCCCAAAGGCCCGACCTCCAAAAACCATCACATTTTTAGGGATTTAACAGACGTATTTTGGGGGACACAAACATTCATCCTGTAGCATTAGGGATGAAGAAGTGGTGGTGAACAGCCTCTGAGCATCCCAGACCCACTGGCAAAGTTCAATCCACTGTGGACAGAAGTCCCTTAAGCTTAGCAACTGAAGGACTTTTCTTTGATCCATTTGATGCCCTCAGTTAGTTAACTCCACACCCACCAAGGCAAACTTTGGAGTCTGGCTTCTTGTGCAGTTTATGAGCAGGAAGAAAACATGGACCACTGACGCGCTGGTTCCTGTGCCCATCCCCAGAGGTCAGCTGGGAAATGGGTGTTCTGGTGTCTCTCTCTCTGGCTTCCATGGTTGTGTGGAAGTCAGTCAGGCTTTGGAGCTGACACCACCGAGGGTGGGTGTTGGGACCTCCTCAGCCTAAGGCCAGTGAGCGTGGGGGCAGGGAACAGGCATCCACAGCCCCACGGGAGTCCTGGGGATGGGCAGGTGGAGAAGGGGTGCAGGCACCACAGGAAGGGGTGGCTCTCATAAGGGCTTCAGATGAATGTTTCCATTCAGACAAGAAGAGGCTGTGGAAGTCAAGGTCAAGGCCCATCCTCCTGGGGGACAAGGAAAGACTGTGTGACAGTCTTCAGAGGATAGGTAGGAATTGGGGAGGGAGGTGAGGGGTAAAGCACCCTGGGCTGAGGTACGGCAGAGCCAAGGTGTTGAGCTGGAGAGTTGTGTGTGGGATGTGAGATGCTCCAGGAATCAGGGTCCTGTTGAGATGAACGTTGGGCCTATGTAGGTGGTGTATTAGTTTCCTGCAGCTGCTGTAACAAAGGATCACAAAAGGAATGGCTTAAAACAACAGAAATTTATTCTCACAGTTCTGGAAGGCAGAAGTTAAAAATCAAGGTGTTGACAGTTACGCTCCCTCAGAAACTCCAGCAGAGGTTCCTTCCTGCCTCTTCCAGCTTCTGGTAGCCCCAGGCATTCCTTAGCCTGAGGCAGTATAACTCCAGTCCTGGCCTCTGTCCTCACAGGGCCCCCTTCCCTCTGTGTGTCTCTGTTTGCATGTGGCATTCTCTTCACTGTCTCTCTCTCCTTATAAACACAGCAGTTATATTGGGTTAAGGACTCACCTGTAGAGAGCGCCTGGGAAGGCACATGAGCTAATTGTCAGCTGAGTCCAGTGGTGTCAGCAGAGCCACGTCCTGGAAACATAGTGCCAGAGGGGCAGGTATGTTGTCAGCCTGACCCTTGGCTCAGGTGCCAGGGGGTGGGTTTCATTATCTAAGTTCAGCCAGGCGCAAGGAACGGATGTAATTATCTGGGCTCAGCCAGGAGTGACAATTACAAAGAAGCCACAAGAATGAAGAATTACAGCTTGATCTTTAACCGTGATTTCACATAATTTCCTTTGTCTTAAACTCTAGTAAAACTTCCTGGAAACATGCTGTATATCATAAATGCGCTGCACCAGCTCTGGGACGCTGTCTCTCCATCAGAGGGCAGCTGTCCCACCCGGTCCCAGCTTTCCCTACTGTGTCTGTGTCTGTCTCTTTTTTTTCCTTTTCTCAATCTGCAGCAGCCCCTACTCAGGAATTCATCCGCTCTCTAGCCATGCTGGTTGCGGTAAAGAGAGAAAACTTATACTCACCCTACTCCACTGTTACCTCAACTTAACTAATTATCTCTGCAATGACTATCTTACCTAATAATAGACAAACATTAAGTTTAGTCATGTTCCTCAAGGACAGGAAAATGGCTAGACTGGTCATGTTTCTTCATGGTGTCTGGCGGAGGGCTGGGCATGTGATAGTGTATAGTGGATACAGTTAGCTCTTGTTATTGGTGGTAGTTATGTTCTATAAGGTCTCTGTGAACACTGAATTATTGGATAATTATTGAATTATGAAGAAACCTGAGCCATTGCTTCTAGGGGAAATACAGGGCTAGGTTCCTATGTGCCTCTGGCCGTATTTTCATCAACTAATCAGTACAGAATCTTGTTTTTTGTGTGTTTCTGTTTAAAGGCAGCTTTTTTAATATATATTTTTGATGCATTAGCATTGAACTCACAGCCCACAGCACTAGAACTCATTCCTGAGTGAAGCTTATAGAACATGTATATTTTCCCATAAGGCATATCACAGTCTCCATGAGCTTAGGACCACTGGGCAGCACTTCAGCCCTCTGCTCGAGGGCCATTTCAAACAGCGAAATCAGCAACAAGAAGAACAAAAATGCAAAAACCAAGGTACCAACCAGACTCTGAAAAGGAGGACACTTGCTTACAGGATGAGAGCCGACTTCAGCTGGGCCTGTGCACATTGGGTGGCTGAGATTTTCCAAAGGTCTGCATGTGACTCTGTATAACCGAGTGAGAGCCATGGAGTATTGATTTTGGGGGTAAAAATACACTTAAGAAATATGGAATCTATGTATATATATAAAAGCCAGGCGACCTAACGGCCGATGGCTATGACGCTCACTGTGGCAGCCAACCTCCCGATCAGGGGCAGGGCCAGCCAGCCAAACCACCCGTGGCCCCTCCCCCTGCCAACCCCGCCCCTGATCGGTCCCCCGCACCCCGATCACTGAAGTGTGACCTTCAGTGATTCTAAGTACATAAATGCTCTCCAGCCTTCATAGACCAGGAACCTGTTCATGGTCTGGACCGTCAGTCAGGTGTCCTGGAGAGGTGCCCAGCACAACCACCATCTTCCTGCGTTCTCTCTCCACTGCTTCCTACCAAAGAGTAGGGGCTGCTGCGGATTAGAGCAGTGGTTCTCAACCTTCTGGCCCTTTAAATACAGTTCCTAATGTTGTGACCCAACCATAAAATTATTTTCGTTGCTACTTCATAACTGTAATGTTGCTACTGTTATGAATCGTAATGTAAATTTCTGATATGCAGGATGGTCTTAGGCGACCCCTGTGAAAGGGTCGTTCGACTGCCAAAGGAGTTGCGACCCACAGGTTGAGAACCGCTGCTGTAGAGGGTTTGTCAGCAGGGAACTAAACCGCATTACCTGTGTAGGGAGAGGCTTAGAAACAGAAGTTGTAAGTGTCCCTGTCACTAAAGCGCCTTTGAAGCTTCAACTCATCCGAAAGCCAACAGCAAACATGTATACACCCTGCAAAGATTTTTGACACTAATAACTCCCCCCAGCCAGCCCG